TGCAGCTGTTGCTCATATCAAATTACATGTTGTACAACAACTCAGTCTTGATTTTCAGTAAATACATGTTACGCGTAAAGAGATGTACGTAATAAATGTTTTTGCGGCGTAAAAAATAATTCTTCAGGAGGAATTATGGAACAAAATATCCATTACAAGAAGGAATCAGTGGTCAAAGGAGGGAAAGTTTTTAGAATTATTGAACTCCTCCTGTTAAAATGTTCTATATTCACATTAGAGGCTTGCTTCATTTTACCTGATACAAAAGGAGGCAACAATTTATCGCAGAAACCTTTGATTCAACGGAAGCGGACTAAACGACAATCTTCTTCGTTGATCTACTCGACAAGATCCACTGAGGTCTGCACACAAAGGGGGCAGCGACTTCAATGCGGAAAAGACTACAATCGCAACAGTTCGTGAAACGCAAATATTGACATAGGGCGATTCAAGCAGATGCAATGCAGCACAGTGAAACTGACTTGAGAGACGGAGCAGAGGTTCCCTCAACTTTTGGAGACAATGATTTTTTCTCAATGAAGTGAATTGAAAGGGAACAATTCTAGCTTTCTTCTCTTAAAATATGTGCTTCTAGCGACAAGAACACGACTAATTCGCTTGATGGAGAAATTCAGGAAACCTATGTTTTCTAAAGCTGAAAGATAACAATGACGCAGAGCTTATAACATTTGAGCACAATAATCTTGACATTAGAAGCTTAGCACAACTCACTCAAACCCCATGCAGAAGACTCAATGATGGAAATGGAGGGAAGTGGCCTTCACTGAAGTGGACCCGCCCTCAATACCATCATTCTATTGCTGCAAAGTTTACTCAGGCTCACTCACAAGTTAAAAATATCTGTAAGCGAAAAAATTGCCCTATATTTGCATTGTCATTGTAACGGTATAAGAATCAATTGAGAACCGGCGAAACGTCACGGTGACGATGCGTTGTGAGGGCGTTGATGCTTGTGCCTTGTGTTCCTCCTTATTTGCTGAGTGAGTCATATATATAGCTCTGCATCAAACTGCAAAATGCGTAAGACTGCAAAAACTGCTTTTTTTCTACAAGATACTTATAGAAAGTACGGGAATTTTCGCTGAGCTTACTAAACACTTTGAACAAATGACGAGAGAGAGAGAAAGAAAGATTGCAAGATTACTTGAAGAATGTTTCGTAAGAGTGATAAGATGCAGTCGTTATCTTTCCTTATTCTTTAACTGTCATTCACCATGCAAAGCAGCAATATTGACATACCAGATAGAACGAAGGTAGAAGATAAGGCAGAGAACCTTGAATCCAATTTATAAAAGTCATTGTTTATTTTTGAGGTAGTCTTGTGGTATCAGCAATGATTAATATTGATTTTTCAGTTTTGGCTTAATTACTTAGCTAAATGTTCCTATTTTACTTTACTGTTTTGGTCTTCTAAGAGCTTATCAAGTTTTAATGACTGACTTCTCAAAATTGACTATTTAAATATCTTCTATAGCCATAGGAGATTCTGTTCACGGGTTTAATGGGTAAATAAAAGGAGAAGTCAGAGCCAAATGAAAGAAAGTTTAATAATATTGGATAGAAAGCAAAAGTTGGTGCGTAAAAGCAAGTGTTGTAAGATAAGAAGTTTGACAGAAGGTGGGTCTAATGCTGCATCAAGCTCGCCAAGGTTATTCTGCACGAATCCGTGTC